GTGAAGGCGTGCTTATTGGGGGGCAACAGCAACACTAAATGCTCAATGACATTTGTTAATATAGCAGTCGCTATATCAGCTTTAGCTGGGGGGGGGCCAAAAACGGTTTCGCACCGAGACCAGAATACGGTGGTGTTTTCGACATTTTTCGAGATTTTTGGGTGTCTGAGCGCAAGAGGGTATTGAAATGGAATTTTGGGTCATTTTGGTAGCTTTCCGGCAATGGAAAAACGGCCAAAAATGAAAAAAACATTGTACATAGCAAGATTTTGCAGGGTTTTTGGATGCCAGAGCATTGAAAACACTGCAAAAACAAGTGTTTTGGACTGACGTTATAGCAAAACACGTGTAAATTACCGTATGCTTGACTGGAAACATTACAAAAACACTGTCAAAAGCAATGTTTTGGAAGGATTTACTGCCTTTATGGCAAAAAACGTGTAAATTACCGTCTGTTTGACTGGAAACATTGGAAAAACACTGTCAAAAACAATGTTTTGGAAGGATTTCTTATATATATGTTGGAGTTGGCTACCGGCATTGGAACATGGAAAAATTGAAGAAAACACTGTAAATAGCGGTATTTTCAACGGTTGGGGAGATAAGGGAATTGGAAGCATTGTCGAACATGATGTTTTCGACCGGTTTTATGGCGACAAAAGTGTAAAGTACCGTGCTTTGAAGGAAACCATTGCAAAAACATGGAAACACATTCAAAGAACACGGGATTTGGGGGACTATCTAGGCGTCGTTGTCTAGCTATTTGAAATTCCGCAGCTTGGAGAACCTCCAAGGGAGGGAAAAGTGAAAATTCCATAGCTTGGGAAGCTGTCACGGCGGGGAAAAGTGAAAATTCCCTAGCTTGGGAAGCCCCCACGGGGGGGAAAAGTGAAAATTCCCTAGCTTGGGAAGCCCCCACGGGGGGGGGGAAAAGTGAAAATTCCCTAGCTTGGGGAGCCCCCACGGGGGGGAAAAGTGAAAATTCCCTAGCTTGGGGAGCCCCCACGGGGGGGAAAAGTGAAAATTCCCTAGCTTGGGGAGCCCCCACGGGGGGGGAAAAGTGAAAATTCCCTAGCTTGGGGAGCCCCCACGGGGGGGAAAAGTGAAAATTCCCTAGCTTGGGGAGCCCCCACGGGGGGGGGAAAGTGAAAATTCTTAGCTTGGGGAGCCCCCACGGGGGAAAACCACCCTTAGCCCCTCTCACGGACCGAAATAAACTTGCGGTGTGGGCGGCCACCCCACGCGAAGCGGGGTGAATATCTTCTTGTCTCCTCCCTTTTGCTCTCTTTTGGGCCGCAATGTCGTCTAGTTGCTGATTTTCAGATTTTTTGCCCAAAAGCTCCTGCAAAAGGTTTTCCGAAAGAATTGCTGCTAAATTCAACTTTGCACTTCATCTACATGACACCTCCAACATCCTTAACATCACCTACATCATCTACATCAACTTCATCTATGTTGCTACATACACCGTCTACATCTCCTACATCTTCAACTATATCCTTTACATCACCTACATGATCTACATCAGCCTCATCTACATCACATACATTTACATCATCTATCAACTTCAATCAGTTTCATCTGCGTCACATACAGCACCCACATCACCGACATCAAGTTCATCTACATCACACACACACATCATCTACATCATTAGAGGGATCTACAAATGCTCAATGTCTACAACCCTCCTACCAAACTCTTCCACTGTCAACGACACAGGAAATATTACACATAAGTTCTTACACAGGAGTTGTGACACAGAAGTTTTTTTGCAGGAGTTGTTGCACAGGAGTTGTTACACAGGAGTTAACTTCCAGGTGATCCACCTGCAGCTGAATTCCTACAAAACTCCTACTTCTCAAGCTCTTCTCAACTTCTCTCTTTAGGCGGCAGCCTCTGCGTAGATCGTGCGTGTTGGACGCGCAAACATGTGGTGAAAGGCGAATTTTGTGGGCTTGACGTCGCCCTTTACGAAATGAGGGCCGGTGTCAAACACTGGTGTGGAATTGCAATTTTGAAATTTCAGATGCAACCATTTCGCGCGAAATGAAGGTCGAACGAACGGCAAAAGCTTGTGTAAACGTGTGATTTTTAAAGTTAAAACGGAAATGTTGAAAATTGCTGTAAAATTGCAATCTTGAAACATCAGACGCAACCTTTTCGCACGACATGAAAGCCGAGCGTCAAAAACTGGTGTAAAATTGCAGTTTTGAAACTTCAGATGGGACCATATTGCGCGAGATGAAGGTCGAACGAACGGCAAAAACTGGTGTAAACTTGCGATTTTACAACGTCAAACGGAAATGTCGGAAATTGCTGTAATTTACAGTCTTGAAACATCAGACGCAACCTTTCCGCACGACATGAAGGCCGAATGTCAAAAACTGGCGTAAAATTGCACTCTTGAAACTTCAGATGCAACCTTTTCACACAAATCAAGATCGGACGTCAAAAACTGGTGTCAAATTGCCGGTATGAAATCTCAGATGCAAACCCTGCACAACATCAAGGTCAGACGGCAAAAACTGCTGTAAAATTGCTCTTTTGCAACGTCACAATTCCTCTGTGGCAAGGCTTCTTTGTGTAAAAGCTTCCCTGTGCAAAGGCTTTCTCTGTGTAACAGCTTCTGTGTGTCAACGCTTCTCTGTGTAAAAGTTCCTCTGTTTAAAGAGTTCTCTGTGTAAAAGCTTCTGTGTGCAAAAGCTTCTGTATGTAAAGCTTTTGTGGGTAAAAAAAAGCTTCTGCGTGTAAACGCGTCTGTCTGTAAAAGCTCCTTTGCTTCTGTGTGTGGAAGCCTCTCTGTGTGAAGCCTTCTCTGTGTAAAAGCTTCTGTGTGTAAAAGCCGCTCCGTGTAAAAACTTTTCTGTGCAAAACCTCTTGTGTGTAAAAGCTTCTGTGCGTAAGAGCTTCTCTGGGTAAAAGCTTCTGTGTGTGAAGACTTCTGTGTGGAAAGGCTGCTCTGTGCAAAATCTGCTCTGTGTAAAAGCTTCGGAGCGTGAAAGCTTCTGTGTGCAAAAGCTTCTTCGTGTAAAAGCTTCTGTGTGCAAAACCTTCGCTTTCTCTTGTGTAAAAGCCTCTGCGTGTGTAAAAGCTTTTCTGTTTCAAGAGTTTTCTGAGTAAAAGCTTCTGTGGGTAAAGGCTCCTCTGTGTAAAAGCTGCTGTGTGTAAAAGCTTCTGTGCGTAAAAGCTTCTGTGTGTAAATGCGCCTGTGTGTAAAAGCTCCTCTGTGTAAAGGTTTCTCCGTGTAGAAGCTGCTCTGTGTAAAGACTTCTCTGTTTAAAAGTGTTTGTGCGTAAAAGCTTCTGCGTGTAAAAGCTTCTCTCACAGACCTGTAAGCCCCCCAACCCTCCCAAAAGTGCTAGAACCCGCTAAGTCTCGACACAAACCATCGACTCCCAAATCACAAACATGTGATTCTAACAAAAAAGCAAGTGAGGGCTACTGAGTGCTAGGAAGCGCTCTGAGTGCAGAAACTCCCGCAAGATAAGTCATGGCTTGCCAGAGAGTATTGCTCATTGCAGAGGAAACCCCGAAACAACATTCAACATCTTTTGGGTTTTGACGCCTTGATTTAGTTCTCACCAACCAACCCCTTTTTAACCCATATGATTTTGCTTTGCTATTTCTCCTTCTTGGTTCATCACATCCCTGATTTCCAGGATGCTGGCAGCCTTCCAGTGTGTAAAAGCCCCTCTGTACTAAAGCCCCTCTGTGCAAAAGCCACTCTGTGCAAAAGCTTCTGTGTGTAAAAGCTTCTGTCTGTAAAAGCTCCTGTCTGTAAAACCTCCCCTATGCAAAGCTCCTCTGTGTGAAGCCTTCTGTGTGCAATAGCTGCTCTGCGTAAAAGCTGCTGCATGTAAACCCGTCTGTGCGTAAAAAGCTCCTCTGCGTAAAGCCCAACTGTGTAACAGCTGCTGTGTGTAAACACGTCTGTGAGTAAGAGCTCCTCTGTAAAGCCTTCTGTGTGTAAACGCATGATGCTGACCGTCGCCAAGGCGCCAGCCCTGGAGCAAACTTCGCGCGGGGAAAAACATCAGATTGTGGAATTTTGAGATTTGACCAACATTCATCACCAACAGCCACCACCAACAATATCCATCACCATCAACATCACCACCATCACCGTCATGATTCTTCATCATTTTTTTTTGTGTGTTATCTTCTCGTCTCCTCCCTCTGCTGCTTTCGTTTGGGCAGCGCTGTCGTCTAGTTTCAAATAACGGCAAGGCTTGCGGCATCTTCCGCCTGTGCATTTTGTTCGGGTTTTGGGGTCTTGCCTCGCCAAGCTTCGTAGGAGTGGGCGGAGACAAGAAGGCTTCCAGACAAGGAGCCTCATTCCACATATCGCCACCGGCTTGTAGATCGGTGGCTTGAGGCCACAGGTGGCCGGTGGCTAAAGCTAAGTGCAGGTTCAGCATCAGTTTGCCGGCATGCGGTTGCGCAGTGGATTTGTCATGAAGGGCTGGCATTAAGACTTTCGCCGCGTGTCTGCCATTGAAGAGGACGGCAGCTTTGATGACATGACCTTGGCCAGGGAGGCGCGCTGAATGGACATATCTCTGAAAACAATAGTGCGGGTGCTTCCTCAGAACAGTCTAGCTGCACAAGAACGCGTAGCCTGCAGTCCTTGCATCAGCATGGTGCCGTGATTTGCGGCGCCGACGATTTTTGCGGCCACGTCTCCACAGGTGCTGCAAGGTATCCTTCAAGCCTTGCCGGGGCGGCGAAGGCCACACCCTAAGGTCGCAGAAGATGTTGCAAGCCAATGCCTCCGCCATACGGGATGCTTCGGGCACTGAGGACTACGGTGGAAAATATGAAAATGACGGAGCAGGCTCACAGCATTTGCGCATGGATCTTTTGCCGCTTTTTAGGGATTGATTCTTTCATGCCTTTGATCCCCAAAGCGACACCTTAGCACTGTCAAGTACCAACCCTATGCTCTGCAAACGGCACCCGCTTCTTGGCATCGCTAGGACTTCATCAACGATGTCCAAATGTTGGGGGTTTGGCCGCCGGGGCCGCAAAACATTTTCGCGTTGAACAGGTAAAAGGCACCAGACATGTATGGCATTTACCATTTCAAGCACTGAACAGTTTTCGAACCGGGATTCTAGATGCATGTTTTCAGGCCCGAGCTCACACCCAATGACCGGAAGGAGGCGCAAACGCCACAGAGGGCGGGGCCAGGTCGGAGGAGCAGGGTTCGCCTCGGCGCTCCCTGCAACCACCAGCATACCGGGAGGTATTTGCTGCTCTACTAGTACCTTCGCAACGAATTGTCCGGCTGCTGAAAGAAGGCCCGAAGTGCGGCAAGCTAGTCTAGAGTGAGGCCAAATGACGTGAAGGGGAGTTTGCAGGCCAGATGAGCTTGCCAAGGGCGCTGAACTGCCAATCATTGGCGGATGGTTTGGCCAGTGCTCACGCCTCAGCACGTTGATTTTTTCAAACATGGGTCAACGCGGCTGCAGCCGGGACGCTCTGTCTGAGAAGGCATGCAGATCCAAACAATGCTGTTAGGATCAAACAAAGACTGCCGGGCAATTGAAACTTCAACATCTCATTACCGTAACACATCACCTTGCAGCAGTAAGTACATTACATCAATACATGGCTTCAACATCAAATTTCCTCAACATCACATTACCTCCCCAAGTTCATTACCCCAGCAAAAAAATCAGTCAAAAAAGTCCGCACTGTGTAGCAGGTCTGTTGGTTTCGCGGTGTTCTTGCGCCGTTGTTTTTTTGAGTGTTTGTGTCGGTTTGGCTGTGGATCACACTGGGGTGGCTTCGGCAACGTTGTTGGGGCTAGTTTGGCAAGGCGGTGGTGAAGGCGCGAAACGTTGCAAATAGCCCTTTTTGGCATGGCGGGTGCAGATTTGGCACCTGCAGTTGGCACTGCATAGCAGGTTTGAAGGTCTGCGCGGTGTAGTTCTATGCTGTTTGGGAAGCTTTGGCTGCGGGCGGCAGTGGAGTAGCTGCGACACGGCTGTTGTAGCATTCTTGCTTGGTTCGCTTGGCGCGTCCATTTGGAAGGGTGTTGAATTGGCAAGTGCGGATATGGTCACCGTGGTCCAAACCGTGTAGCGGGCTTGAAGGTTTGCGCGGCGAGGTTCTTTGGTGTCTGGGTAGGTTTGGCTGTAACAAGCTTGCTGTAGTCGGTTTGGTAGTGCGGTAATGAAGGCGCAGAATTTTGCAACCACAATACTTGGTGCGTTTGGCGGTTCGGTCGGTTGGAGAGGTTGTTGGCGTGCGGATGCGGATTTGGTCGCGGCAGTTTGCGCTGTTTGCGCTGCCTTGCGGGTTTGAAGGTTCGTGCGGCGTAGTTCTCTGTTGATTGGGAAAGGTTTGAGTGCCAGATCGCAATGGAGTGGCTCCGACGAGGTTAAATTGCTGTAGCTGCAGTACTTGGTGCGTTTGGCAGGTGGATTGGGTAAGGTCACCATCATCATCAACATCATCATCATCATCATCAGCATCAGCATCAGCATCATCTCATCATCAACATCATCATCATCATCATCACCATAATCATCATCGTCAGCATCATCATCATCATCATCATCGTCATCATCATCATCATCACCATCACCATCACCATCACCATCGTCATCACCATCATCATCATCATCATCATCATCATCATCTTGATCATGATCATCTTCTTCTTTGTCATCATCATAATAGGGGAGTTCCGGCTTTTGCCGTCCTGCCTCCTTGTGGGCTTCTTCGGGCTGGCTTGCTTCTCTCCTTTGTCCTGTGTCTTGTCTTGCCATGCTGCTTGCCGGGGTTTCCTTCCTCGGTCTCAATTGTGCTGGGACCTCGCTTGCTGTCCTTTTCTGTCCTGTCGGTCTCTGCTTGGCGGAAGTTTCCCTGACAAGTATGAGCTCTGTGTGAAGTGTTGGCTTCTCGCTTCTTTTCCTGCGCGCACGTGCGTGCTTCTTGTTTAACTCATTTTCGACGCTTATTTCCGTTTCAGCGCCACGCGTAATTGATCTGATGCAGTCTCGGATTTGATGTTTGTCAGCGACGGCTTCAATTGAGATTGGAGGTTGTTACTTGTAGAATGTTCGCCCCCGCAAATTAACTCCACATGGCTGTTTCTGGCCTCCCCCCTCCCTCGCAAATAAACCCTACATGGCTGTTGTGAGCATGAGGATGCCCAAGGCAAGAGACGAGTAAGAACGTTTAGAGTGCAATGAGTCGTTCCAACCTTTGAAAACAAGCTGAAATGATGATGTAAGTAGAATTGTTCCCCAAAAAATCCTTAAATGGCTGCTGTGAGCATAAGCAAGAGACAAGTAAGAGCCCTTGGAGTGGAATGAGTCGTTCCAAACTTAGAAAGCTGAAATGATGATGTAAGTAGAATGCTCCACCCCAAAAACCAGATGAAGCCCACGAACCCGAATGCTCACACGTATGTTAATGGCACAGATGTCAAAACACATGGTTATGCAGTCACGCACAATACCTTTCTGCAATAGTTTATTTGAACAGTCTTGTACATGTTTCCCTTGCTACCAGTCTGCAGTGTGGAGTGGGAAGTGTAGAGTGTGGAGTGTGGAGTGTGAAGTAAGGAGTGTGGAGTGTAAAGTGTGGAGTGGGGAGTGTAGAGTGTGTAAAGTGTAGAATGCGGAGTGTAAAGTGTGGAGTATGGAGTGTAAAGTGTAGAGTGTGGAGTGTAGAGTGTGGAGTGTGGAGTGTAGAGTGTAGAGTGTGGAGTGAGGAGTGTAAAGTGCAAAGTGTGGAGTGTGGAGTGTAAAGTGAGGAGTGTAAAGTGTGCAGTGAGGAGTGTGGAGTGTAAAGTGAGGAGTGTAAAGTGTGGAGTGAGGAGTGTGGCGTTTGTAAATTGTAGAGTGTGAAGTCTAGAGTGTAAAGTGTAGAGTGTAAAGTGTAGAGTGTGGAATGTAGAGTGTAGCGTGTGGAGTGTGGAGTGTGGAGTGGAAAGTGTAGAGTGTGGTGTGTGGAGTGTGGAGTGTGGAGTGTAAAATGTAAAGTGTGGAGTGTAGAGTGTAAAGTGTAGAGTGTGGACTGTGGAGTGAGGAGTGTAAAGTGTGGAGTGTGGAGTGAGGTGCGTAAAGTGTGGAGTGTAAAGTGTGGAGTGAGGAGTGTAAAGTGTGGAGTGTGGAGTGTAAAGTGTGGAGTGTGGAGTGGGGAGCGTAAAATGTAGAGTGTGGAGTGTGGAGTGGAAAGTGTAGGGTGTGGTGTGTAGAGTGTGGAGTGTGGAGTGTAAAGTGCGGAGTGTAAAGTGTGGAGTGTGGAGTGAGGAGTGTAAAGTATAAAGTGTGGAGTGTACAGTAAAGTGTGGAGTGTGGAGTGCGGAGTGTGGAGTGGAAAGTGTAGAGTGTGGAGTGTGGAGTGTAAAGTGGTGAGTGTGGAGTGTAGAGTGTGGAGTGAGGAGTGTAAAGTGTAAAGTGTAAAGTGTGGAGTGTGGAGTGTAAAGTGTAAAGTGTAGAGTGTGGAGTGTGAAATGTGGAGTGGAAAGTGTAGAGTGTGGTGTGTAGAGTGTGGAGTGTGGAGTATAAAATGTAAAGTGTGGAGTGAGGAGTGTAAAGTGTGGAGTGTGGAAGTGAGGAGTGTAAAGTGTGGAGTGTGGAGTGTAAAGTGTGGAGTGTAAAGTCTCAGGTGAGGAGTGAGGAAGTGCAAAGTGTAAAGTGTGGAGTGTAAAGTGTAGAGTGTGGAGTCTAAAGTGTACATTGTGGAGTGTGGAGTAAGGGTGGAGTGTGGAGTGCGCAGCTTCCCCCATAGACACGGCAACTCCACAGGAAAACCAGAGACTCGAGACGAGACACGTGGGTGCAAAAAAACGAGCATTTCGTGCGAGACTTTCTCCAATTTTGATTTTTTCGACACGTTATCAAACAGGTTGGAATGTCACAAAGTGCCACGCCTGCCACGCAAAACGACATGACAACCTGCTTGGAAACCTTCGAAAAGGATAAGTTTTGCAGCTTCCCCTATAGACACGGCGACGCCACAGGAAAACCAGCGACTTGAGACAAGACACGTGGATTCAGAAAAACCAGCATTTCGTACGAGACTTCCTCCAATTTTGACATTTTCGACACATTATCAAACAGGTTGGAATGTCACAAAGTGCCACGCCTGCAACGCAAAACGACATGACAACCTCCTTGGAAACCTTCGAAAAGGATAAGTTTTGCAGCTTCCCACAAAGACACGGCGACGCCACAGGAAAACCAGCGACTCGAGACGAGACACGTGGATTCAGAAAAACCAGCATTTCCTACGAGACTTCCTCCAATTTTCACAGTTTGAAACATGCCAAAAAGACATGTTTTGCAGCTTCCGCCATAGACACGGCGACACCACCAGAAAACCAGAGACACGAGACGAGACGCGTGGGAGCACCAAAACGAGCATTTCCTGCGAGACTTCTTCCGATTTTCGCACTTTGTCGCTTCAAAATCGACGTTTTCCTACGAGTTTTCTTAGGAACCTCTAAATTTGCTACCTCAAAATCGATGTTTCGTGCGAGGCTTCCGTCAATTTTCAGCACATCGCACAAAATGCAACGCCTGCCACGGAATTTGCACCTTGTCGCCACTTGACGCAGCCCTGCCAATGCGATTTCAAAAAAAAACACCCAACACGACACGTCCAAAGTGCTGCGCCTGTCACGAAACATGACGATGGGCACGTCCAAAGTGCTGCGCCTGCCACGAAAAATGCAACACATCTTCTGAAAATGTCGCAAAAGTATTGCGCCTGCCACACAAAACGACTTTCGACACGTTACAAAACACGTCTGAATGTCACGAAGTGCCACGCCTGCCACGCGAAACGAAACAACGAGACGTCTGAAACCTCCAAAAATGACCACCTCTGCAGAACTTACCATAGGCACGGCCATACGGTCCTCACGCGAACGGTTGCGAACGGTTGCGACCGTGAACGCAACGTCGAGCGAACACACCCTCAGCCCCCAGACCCCCAGAGTGAAACGGGAACCCTTGCTACGCATTCGGGAAAAAGACCCTAAATGGCTAGGTGGTTGAGCATAGTGAATTCCAAGGTCAGAGAGCAGAAAGAGCCATTACAGTGGAATACATGATGTAAGGTGTAAATTTCTCATTGGCGTCGTTTTTTGGTAAAGGCATCGCTTTAGAACCAGCGACCCTTCAAAGTGCTGCGCTTGTCAGTAAACTTGGTGTCGTCTTTTACGGCTGAATTCTGACGTGATGCCTCACGTCGTGTTCTAAAGCTATCCAAAATTCAAAACGGCTGTGTTCTAAAGCGATGCTTCTCACTGTGTTCTAAAGTGGTCCTTTGACGGGTGGATTCGGGAGGGATACGGCCGCCGAAGTCTGCACTGTGTGGCAGGTTTGAAGCTTTGCCCGGCCTGGTACTTTTGTGTTTGCAAAGCTTTGGCTGCAAATCGCAGTGTGGTGGCTGCGG